CCTTGTGTGTGTGTACACGGAACTCCCTTCCACTGGGATAGAGACTGTGTGTGTGTATATGGGACTCTCACCCCATTGTGTTAGGGAACTTGTGTGTACATAGGACTCTCACTCCACTGGGATAGGGACCCTGTGTGTGTGTGTGTGTGTGTACATGGGGCTCTCACCACACTGGGATAGGGACCTTGTGTGTGTGTACATGGGACTCTCCTCCCCATTGGGAAAGAGACCGTGTATGTGTGTGTACTTGGGACTCTCCACCCAAGGCACAGCCGGGTCCACACCCACCTCTGTGTTCTTTCTTGATCTTCTTCCATTAAGAACTGGAATGCCCTGAAGATTCCCTGAGTTCTGAATGTGGTCTCACAGGAGGGTCGGGGAGAAGCAAGGAAAAGGCCAGAAGATACCTTGTGTCTGGCTGTAGGTGTCCACAGAGCAGTAAGCCCACCTTCATAATGTCTCCCAGGAGCTAGGGGAGATCTCCATGCCTCCTTCAAAGAGAAGCATCTATGGACTGCCCAGTGGGTGCAGAGCCCTGGCCAGCTCAATTCTATGGGAACAGATAGCCACCTGGAGCAGCTTCCATCACGGGAGGCAGAGGGAGGGCGGAGCAGTGCACACGGATGGGAACCCTGCACTTCACGGCTGGCTCAAGTTCATGGGCAGAGTCAGGGGACAGTGTCCCAGGAAGCATAGGGTCCAGTTCTGCTGGGCTTATGAGGCAGACCTTCCCACACATCAGATTCCTGAGCATCATGTGGGGACAGGCTCCATGAGTCTGTGAAGGGCTGAGGTCCAGCACACATGGTGGTGGTGCCGTGGGGCCTCAAGGCTGCTCAAGCTCACAGAAGGCGTGCTGGAACCAGAGAGGGGCAGGTAGACAGCTCCAGTGGGCAAGAGCTGGGGAGAGGGGTTTTTGGCACATTTCCTAGGTCCCCGGTCCACACTAAGGGGTGGCCTCTCCCCTGCCCACAGCCCCCAGGAGGGTGCATTTCCTGCAGGCTGGGTGGAAGGCAGGCTCGGCGGAAGCGGCTGCCTTGGCTTGCAAGTGTGACCTGAGAACTAGATCAGCCTTTCAGTCACTTCCACCCTGCCTGGCCTCATCAGGTTCCTGGGCTAGTGGCGGGAACCAACTCCTCTCCTCCTATTCCCCTCTGTGCCTTAAAGAACAAGGGTCAACTGACATTTCATTATCACCACCTCTGCCCAAAGGAGCTCTGGTAGCGTAGTGGTTACGAGTTGGGCTGCTAACCTCAAGGTTCCTGTTTGATTCATTTATTCACTCAGCAAACATTTAGTGCCAGGGATAGGACTGTTAACAAAAAGACGCTGAGTCCCAGTCTTTGTGGAGACCATGATCCCCTCTGATAAACCGCCATCCTCAGAGGCTCCACCAAACCACGTCCCTTGCTACCCTTGAATCTTTAACTCCGTTCTATGAGTCCCTTCCGCTGGTTCTCAGAGATCAGGCCACATTCCCTTCAGCCCTGAGCTGGCCTGTGCCTTTCTGGGCCACCACCGCCACTATCAAGGAGGGACAAGTCTCTTTGGGTTCTCTGAACCTGTGCTTGGCACCCAGGCCTCTGGCAGACGGCACAAATGCAGGTGGGCCTTGCTTTAGGAAAACTTGGCACCTGAAAATCCTAACAGCCAAAACTCACAGGTAGATATCTTGTCCTTCAGGGACTGCACCCTTGCCCAGTAAAGGGGAGACCCATACAGGGAGGCCTGTCTGCCATCAGTCCCCCAAAGCCCTGAACTCACTGTGTGATGACCTCACTTTCTATCTGGAGCAGTTTCCATCTGGGCTAAGTCTAGGAAGGGCACCTCAGGTGATGCGCAGAAGCAGGTGTGTGTATGGGAGGGGGCTCCAGTGCCCCTCAAGCCCATGGGCCTGGTCCTCAGACCTAGCCTTGCCCACCTGCAGTTCCCAGGAAAATGGTTCAGTGGGCAGGATTCCAGGCAGTAGACAGGTGCAGAACAGTTGTCCCCTGTGTTTTCAGTTCTGTAAGTGAAGCCCCCAAATCCAGCCTCAGTAGATTCAGCTCTGCTACCAGCCCTCCTCAAGCTTCCTTCTGGGGAAAGAGCAGGCACTGAAGTCCAGCCTGAAGAATTCCTGGCCCCCTTCAAGATGGGGGGTCGGACTAGAGGCCAAGAACAAGGGACAGCTGTGAAGCCTGGACTGAGGACAACTCGGAGACTCCAGGATAAAATGAGAATATCAGGGTGGGGGGAATGCAGGAAGAGCAGCACCCTGATAGGTGGCCTCTCCCAGCATGCCCTCTGCTGAGAAAATCTGGGGGAGGGGGCATGTGGCCATGACCTGACCCTTGACCCAAGCCCAGCTGATGACATCTTCTCTGTAGGGGAACCAGTCTTGGGAGCAGAAACTTCTCTCCCTATCTCTTCCATTTTGTAAGGGCCGATTCCTCCCAACCCAGCCAGCCTTTCATCCACTGGTCCAGAACAGGTCTAACTTCTCTGCAGAACAGGAGTGGAGCCAACTCTGACAGAAAGGAGGGAAGCTACGGGTCCATCCTCTAATCTCAGGCAGACCCATGGGATCCCAGGAGTAGAGCACCTGGACCACCGCAGGCTGGTCTGCCGATTCCCATCTCACACAGCAGTCCGACAAGCTGGGGAAGCAAAATCGACTGGCTGCTGCGTTGGAGCCTCAGTGGTTCCCGGGCACCCACACCTCCGGCCTTGGCTCCAGCCTCGTGACTCCCTCCCTCCTCAGGGCCTTTGCACCTGCTGTTCCCTCTGTCTGGAATGTTGTTTCCCTAAGTGGCAACTTATTCCCTGCTGCCCTCTACCTGGCCCCAGCTGTCACCAAGTTGTCCAACTCATGATGCCTCCATGTGTGTTAGAGTAGGGTTTTCAATGGCTGGTGACTTTCAGAAGTAGAACTCCAGGTCTTTCTTCCAAGGTGCCCTGGGCTGACTTGAATGATGAACCTTTTGGTTAGCATCTGAGCGCATGGACTGTTTGAAATCGTTACCTTGTGACTTTTCACAGTTCACGTGACCAGCACCATCCACTGCTCTGTCCTGTCTCCCCACTAGCTTCTTATGTCCCCAGAGCCTGTGACAGCCACCATGTCTGCAGGGATAAAGTGCTACAATAATCCCTACAGGCCAAGCATCTAGGGCCTGGGGAGCAATACCTCTTCTCAACGCTGGGGTGGGGTGGGGGACTAGACTTCCAGTATAGGCTGGGCCTGTAACCATCTAGACCCAACACACAGCTAGCCTCCCTAACCTGTGGCAGGTGTCTGGCAGCCCCCAGGCTAAGCTTTAGGCAGCTTCCCATCTGTTCAAAGTAACATCGCCCTGGTGCTGAGGGGTGAAAGAACGGCTGGCTGCCTGGGTGCGCACAGCAGATCTGAATTCAGGAAACGGCCTGCCCTGTGGACGGTCACCACCTGTGCCCTCTGCCCAGGCTGTCGAACTAGCCAGAACCTGTTAGTGTTGTTCAGAGGCCAAGGAGGAAATGGATCTGCAAATAAGCCAGCAGTTCTTAGAAGACCTCTGACCTGTCTCCACTCCTTCCTCAGGCAAGTTCTATCTGTACTTCATAATGTACCTTACATCCCTCCAGGATGGCTCTGGGCCAGCAGCAGGTTGGCACCCCACTCCAAGTGTGGCCTTTGGCTGAATACCTTGGCAGCCTTGGCCCTGACCTGCTGACTCAGAATCCACAACTGTCTTTGAGGTACTGCAGATCTGGGGTTGGCCTGCTGCCTCTGTGACCAGGGGTCAGGTGGCTAGTGTTCCAGCTCCAACCCTAACACACTCCCTGTGAGGCCAGTCGCTGCACCTGGACTGTTTTCCTCATTTGAAAGCCAGGTGACCCAGGCAGGAGACTACAGAAGAGAAAGCTCTGAAACCTGGGCAGCCGTGGGCAGGGCCACACAAGTGGCCCCTTGTCTCTTTTATTCTACTTAAGAGAACCCAGTAAAGTGAACAGTGTCAGCCCATGGCCACAGTGCCCCAATGGGGTGTGTCCCTGGAGAATCTTATCAAGGTGTGGCTCAGACACATCTCCCTGTGCTACTTACTCCCACTGCTCAGGCTTGCAGGGTATCTCCCCCTGTAGGTTGTACAGAGCACCAAGGACCCAGGCTGACCCTGGCAGAGGTCCAGAAGTGCCAGATGGACCGGTTTCCTCCTCGTCCCCTGCTGAGGCCCAGTCACAGTGTTAAGTCCAGAGCTGCTGCCAGTGTCAAGAGGACAGGAAATGGAGGCCACAGGAAGGCAGCAGATCTGTAAGGCCCAGAGGAGAGAGATGGTCCTGACCACCTCACTTCAGCCCCTAGCTGAGCCCCTGACCAGCAGGAACACTTCTGCATTCCTCCCTTCTTTACTAAGTCAATGCAAGTAGAGTTTCTTGTCATTTGCGACACCACGGGGGGGTTCTACCAGAAAGCAGTGCTGTCGCCTTCTGCTGTGAGATGACGGACGGGTCCACAGGCAGCGCTGATCCCTGGGCAGAGGGGAGATGGGGCAAAGTTCTCTAAAGCCACCTTTTGCTTGGGGCACCCAGAGCATGTGGCAGGTGAGGAATGGCCAAATCAGCAGGGCACGGTGACCCAGCAGGTTGTTGGACAGTCCTTGATTACCTGGAAGCTCCCTAGACCACACAGGTGACCCTGGGGGTGTGCTTTTTCAGATGGGCGACCTCAGAGAGTAAAGCCCCTAGTCTAATGCTGGGTCCCTGGTATGATTCCCAGGGTTATTTGTAGCTTCAGGGCTGAGGAATGGCATCTGTTCCCCAAAGGCCCAAGCATTTTGGGTTTGCTGGTGGAAAGGTGATCACTTAATGTGGGACTGGGGAAGGGGAAGCTGGTGACCAGCAAAAGGCACTGGGAGGAGAAGGGAAGGAAAAACTGTCATTGTGCCTGCCCCTGGGGGGTAGGAATTCTGGACCCCAGTCCCAGTAGGGCCTGGACAAGGAGTTGTTTAGACACCGGTGAGGAGCAAGTCCCTGCAGGCCTGTGGTCAGCTGTGGAAGGACGACCAGGAGACGTTGGAGGTGTAGAAGTGCACACGGCTGGACCAGTCGCCATCCCCACTGCCTTCCCTGTCCTCATCTGAGTCTTCATCATCCCCACTGGATGCTGCTCCAGCGAAGTGGGCAGGCTGCCCATGGGGACCACCACCCTGCTCCTCCTCTTCCTCCTTGCGCTTCTGGGCAGCCAGCTGTCGGTAGCAGAGGCTGCAGACCCTTAGGGGCTTGGGTGAGAGGCGAGGCAGGAGGAAACGCTCCCGAGAGCACTCTGCACAGACCACGAAGCCACACTGGCGGCAGTGGTGGCGCCTGGTGAGCGCAGAGAAGCGTGTCTGCGTGCAGCGCATACAGATGTCCGTGGCCTTGTCGGGGATCCAGGGCGCAGCGTGCTCCGTGGTGGGCTGGCGGCCCGTGACCAGCAGCTGTCGCCGCACGCACTCCTCGATGTGGCTGATCCATTCCTGGCGCTCTGTCAGGGACGCAGCTGACACCACAAATGATTTCTTGGCCGTCTTGATCATCCAGCGGTTCTTGGCCTGCAGGGTCTCGGGGAGCGGCTCGAGCGTCACTTCCTCCAGCGGGATGATATGCTGGCTCCGGTATTTGCGTTTGCTCAGCACGATGCTGCCGTACACCAGGATGTCGTTGAAGAGGAAGAAGATGCGTGGCTTGGCTTTCTTGCGGCACTCCTTGGTCAGGACGCCCTCACCCAACAGCACTCGGCCTGGCAGGGCCAGTGGCTGCCCCGATGCCCCGAAGCAGTTCTCCACATCTGCGATCCGCTGGCTGTTGATCTCTGTGTTTGCCAAGTGGTCCACCATCTTTGTGGGTTGCTGGGATACAGGAGGGACAGACAGAGAGGCATCAGCAAGCAGCTCATTACCCCACCACCCAAACTCCAGGAAGGGGAATATGGATAAAGTGGCAGCAGTAATGAGTGTATGAATGGGCAGGTTCCCACTGCGCCAGCAGAGACTCAGGTTCTCCTGGAAAACCAGGAAAGTGTTTCAAGTTCAGTCTCAACACTGTCCACCAAGAGGCAAGCTGGGAAATTTATCCTCCAACTCACACCTGCCATTGAATGAGCATGGCTGCTGGGGGGCCTTAACCACCCAGAGTTCCAGACTGTCTCTAAAATAGAGGTGCAGGGCTCCGTGGGCATGTATCTGAGCAGTGGGTGCCAGATATGGATGTCTGTGAACCCACCCAACCACTGCAGCCCAGCCACTTACCACCAGCTGAATGCTATCGCCAGGCCACTTAGTTCTCACACCAGCATCACAGGAGGGTCACTGAGGTGCCGTTAGTAGCGGGACTAGCACTGTGTCTTCCGACAGAGCGTGAGGTATGAGGTCCTCTACATGTTGGGAGTCTCAGAGTTCATCCTGCCCCCACTCAGGCGGCCTTCAGACTTCCTTTCAACCTATTGGTCTTTGACCCACTTCCTCCAACTGGAGTCAGCAGACTATGGCCTGAGGGCCAAATCCAGCCCACCTTGTTTTTGCAAATGAAGTTTTATTGGAATGCACTCAACTTCATTCATTTTATGGCTGCTCTGAAGGAACCCTGGTGGTGCGTGGGTTAAGCACTGGGTTGCTAACTAGAAGGTCCATGTTTGGAACCCACCAGCAGATTCCACAAAGGTTTACAGCCTCAGAAACTCCATGGGGCAGTTTTACTGTGTCGTATGTGATGTACTCACTGAGTCATAAGCAAATCAAAGGCAATGGTTTTGGGTCTTTTGTTTCTTTTGTTTTATATTATGGCTACAGTGGCAGCACTGACAGAGTTTGCTGAGCTTTTCTCCATCGTATCACACCTCCCGCCTTAATTTTCTTCTCAGAATGTATGAAGATCTGATGTTTTCTTATCTATTCACTGTTAACTTGGTTCTATGAGAACAGGAGCAGATTTCTGTTCACTGCTGTGTCCCCAAAGCTTGGAGCAGTGCCTAGCAGGCAGTGGGTGCTTAATAAGTGGCTAGGGAATGAACCTTTGTAGCGCTCTTGAGGTCTAACCATGGATGACTCAGCTCTTGTCTCTGAAGAGGAAGTAGGTGAGCCTGTCCCCACCACCCATGTACGGGCTCACGCAGCACGCAGGGGCCTGGCTGCCCATGCACACGGGGTTTCTGGGTCACCAAGAGCCGCAGTTCTGTAAGTCAGTCCCCCTGTGGGAAGCCAGAGGGGCCCCAGCTGGGGGGCTGGAGACACACATACTCAAGGCTGGGCCCATTGAATCACGTACCCCTGTCCCTTTCAGGCCACAAGATGTTCTGAGGACTGCTGCCCAGAGCACCGTGTTAGTTTTAGATAGTTGAGTTTGGCTTCGTGTTGCAAACATAGTTGGTTATCAGAGACCATGCAGTCCTAACTGATCACTGGTCCCTGTGGACAATCTAGCAAATCCAAGATCCTCTCCCACTACATTTCTGTGTCTCATTCGAGTCAGGTGTCGTGGAATGGCTCAGATAAGGTTTCTGCTGCATACGGGTTCTGAGTGCAGCAGAGGGAGGGCCCTTAAATTGTGTGAAATGGCAAGACCCGGAGACAATGCCTATCACCAGGGGAAGGAATAAAACAGGCATATCCATACCATGGTGTCCTGGTATGGCATGGAGGATTCAGCACTGGATGAATGACCACAAGATCGGAAGTTCAAACTCACCAGCCGCTCCTCAGAAACCCTACAGGGTCACTATGAATCAATGACACTTAACAACAACGTCCATACCAAGGGGTACTGTTGGTGGCTACACTGAAGGCTCCCAACTCAAGGTGACCAACATGGTGGGTGGCAAACAGCAAAGGCTGCGAGAGGACCAGCTAGCTGCAGAGAGCACGGGTAATGTGACAGTATTTATGGAGAAATTCTGGTGAACACACTTTCAATGTGTGTTCAAGAACTAGATTCATGGATAAAAACAGACAGGACAGACACGAACACAGTCTTCGAGAAGGCGCCCGGATGTGACCAGGAATGGGGGCAGCAGGAAGTAATGTTTTATTTCTTTTATTTAAAAAAAAAAAAAAGGCAGCAGCCAATGTGATGAAATCCTAACTTGTCAGTTCTGGGAGATTGTGGACTGAACTGTGTCCTCCAAAAAAACATGCTGAACTCCTAACCCCTGTGTCTATGGATGTGACCTTGTTTGGAAAGAAATCTTTGAAGGTGTTATTGGTTAGGTCTAGATGAGATTTTAGAGAAGCGTGGCTGGTCCTAATCCGTTTTGAGCTGTGTTTTATAAAGTGGAGAATGAACAGGGAGGACTGGGGTTGGGGAAGATGCAGCTACCAGGAATGCCAAGAACTGCCGGGAGCCAGGAGAAGCTAGGAGCAAGGTGTGGGGCAGTTTATTTCATGAAAGGAATCCACACAGTTGTCTATAAAATTCAGTGTTTTTAAAGCTACCTACTCTGGAGTCCAAGGAGCTCTGGTAGCACAGTGGTTACGAATCGGGCTGCTAATCTCACGGTCAGCAGTTCAAAACTACCAGCTGTTCCGTGGGAGAAAGATGAGGCTTTCTGCTCCCATAGAGATTTACAGACTCAGAAACCCTGTTATACAGGGTTGTTATGAGTCAGAACTGATTCCATGGCACATAACAACAACAACCCTGGAGTCCTGGTACGGCGCTATGGGCTAATGTGTCAGACTGTTAAGTCATTTGAACTGCAAGGTCAGTGGTTCAAGCTTACCAGCTGCTCCTTGGAAACCCTATATACAGAGTTGCTATGGGTAGGAATCAACTTGATGGCACTTAACAACAACTTTGAGGTAGCTTTTCACAATAGCCCTAGGAAATGGAAGATACTCTTTCTCTGAATTGAAGAGCAGAATGACAGGGCAGTGTCTGGACCCAGGGTTCTGGGGTCAGCCCGTTAAGGATGCTGAGCTGACCTGAAAGTGGACCACCTGGACAGAGCCTGCCAGGGGGACTAGCCGCTACCATCACCTCCTGCTTTGTACCCATGGGCTCCTTTTGCTCCCCTAAATCCTGGGCAGGAGCTAAGTGTCCATGGCAGATGCCGGAAGCCCCTGAGGAACACCATGTTACCTCCAGGAATGCTAGGCCACCCCAGGGAACTGTGGTTGCAGAGCTAGGCCTAACTAACATGTTTTGTGCAGAGACAACAGCTAGCCTCTCTTCTGGGGCCCCAGTCATAGGTCCAGTGGGACGCTAAGCTCTGGAGGCTGTCCTGCCCAATGTCTACCTGGGACATTTGGGGGATGGGGCTGAATGTGGGGGGGGAGGCAGGAAGCCCTGTGGGAGAGGGAGTGGAGCCTGTCTTTCCTTCCCTGCAGTGGGGCAGCGGATGGTGGGGGATGTTAAGAGGCCTGGAGCTGGTCCCAGGTCTCCTTCCCCCTTTCCACACGGTGGCAGATGCCATGGTGGGACTCAACCACTGCTCTGTTCCTAGTCTAGGGACTCACAGACTGCTCCATGCTATGGAGGTCTCCGCCCAGGGCTGGGAGAGCTGAAGGGGTTTGGGCTCCTTGCATATCCCCCCTCATCGAGTCTGCAAAGGGTCCTTGGCTCCCCCCCACATCTGCCTCACACTTCAACTTGATTTCAACAACGTCATACCCTGGCTGGATGGCTCAGGGGGCTCTGAAGGTTATTCTTGGTAAATACTGCAAGTGGGGAATCTTTTTTTTTCCCAAAATTTTTCTCACCAGAGGAGCAATACCTCCTGTCTTAGACCAGGTAAAGGGGGCTGGGCCTCGTTCCATTCTGGGGAAGCACCCACTCCCCAGGCTCAGGACCTGTGCTGGGAGAACAGAGCCTGGCAGATACATATCATAGCTGTTGGTAGTGTGTGTGTAGATAAGCCACTTCCTGTTTCTGACACTTGGCTTCACCATTCATGGAAGGGGGGAGTACTGCCATCTTATCTACCTTTTACACTACTGCCATCATGGTCTGTGGTGAAGAAGAAACCTTATTTGCAAATTCTCACAAGCATGGTGTTGTTATCATTCCTCAAAGTATGGGTACCATGGGATCTCCTAGTGTTACCCACAAAAAGTGAGATGATATTACATGGACTCCATTTGTTTTGTTTTCTCTTATGTCAGTTATTTCTCAAATTTTGTGGGGTTTTTTTTTTTTTTTTTAACCCAGGTGACAATAAGTGAGCGTGAGGGGAAGGGAGGGTGGGTGCTGGTAGTCATGGTGAGTACTGAGGGCTGGGCACCTCTTTGGTGTCATTCACCTTCTCCGATGAAGACAAAGCTCAAGGTCACACAAGTGGCAGAGAGCACAGCCAGGACCCATACCAGGGGGGAGTACAGAGCTCTTCTCAGACCCAGAAGGATGGAGGTTCCCAGCAGATGGCAAGCACCTCAGCTGCGACTGTCCCGTTGTGACCCAAGCAGACTGGGTGATGCTGCAAGCCACCCTGCCCCCCACCAAAATTCAGTGAAGTATCTGGAAATGAGCACAAATGATCCCATGACCTGAAATGAGACTGCTGGGTGCACCATGAGAGCTGTGGCCTGGAGGCCCAGCCCCGACTATCTCTAAGTGGCTGTGAAGCCCAGTGTTCCCTGCATGATGCTGGATCTATGATACATGATCTATTCCAAGGGTTGGCAAGCTATGGCCCCAGGGCCAAATTTGGCTCAACGTCTGTGTTTTCTAAAGAACATTTTATTGAAATACAGCCTCGAATGGCCTGCAAAACTGAAAAGATTTGCAAATTGCTGACCTATACCACCATGGGCATAATGGCATCTGTGGCAGGGACACACCCAGTGAGCCACACAGGGCTTTGTCCTGGTGGAACTGTCCTTTCCTCTTTTGAATTCAACACAAACTG